ATGTCACTTTGTTTTATAGTTATTGGTGTCTACATCTATCTCTTCAGCTCAATTTTGAGTTTCTTCATTTTGTTTTTCCCATATCACCTAGTTCAAACTCAATTAATGATCACGTAAATGAATTTGGGTGAGACATTCACACTTTATATACCTCAATTTTCTCATCTAGCAAATGGGCATAATAATACCTGTCCTGCCTAACTGTAGTTTGCTACGCCATCAAGTTAGATAATAAATGTGAAAACATTTTTTTAAGTGCTACATATTCTTTGGGAAGCAACTTGACAGAATTAATCAAGAGCCTTAAATTTTTTCATTTTTTTCTTTCTCACTAATTATACTTCTAGTTATCAATCTCAAGGAAAAACTGTGAACATAGAATAATTTTTAATTTTTTTAAAGATTTTATTTATTTATTTGAGAGCGCGAGAGTGACCCCCCACCGTGGGGGAGAAGCAGGTTCCCCACTGAGCAGGTACCCCGCCTAGTCTGATGGGAGGCTCTATCCCCCACCAGGCCCTGGGATCATGACTGAGCCGAAGGCAGATGCTTAACCAACTGAGCCACCCAGGCGCCCCAACATAGAATAATTTTTAAAACACTGTTCAAATATTATTTACAATGGTAAAAAACGTGAAATAATTTTAACACCCAACAAAATAAAATGGCTGAGTAAATTACTGCACATTAACTCAATAAAACATTATATACCATTTTTAAATCATGAAAATTATTTTAAAAGATGATGTAAAAGCCAACAACACGAGAAATGTTTAAGATATAATATTAAAAGAAAAACATGAGGGGCACTTGGCTGGCTCAGTCAGTAGAGCGTGTGCCTCTTGATCTTGAGGTAGTGAGTTTGAGGCCCATGTTGGGTATAGAGGTTACTTTAAAATATATATATAAGGAGTCTCGGTGGCTCAGTTGGTTGAGTGCTCAACTCTTAGTTTCGGCTCAGGTCATGATCTCAGGGTCCTGGGATCAAGCCCTGAGTGGGGCTCAAGCACAGGACGGAGTCTGCTTGGGATTCTCTCCCTCTCTCCCTCCCCTTCTACCCCTTCCCGCACTCATTTGCCTGCACTCTCTCTCTCTCTCTCAAGTAAATAAAATAAAATCTTAAAAAATAATAAAATGCATAAACTTTTAAAAAATGAATACCAAAATTATACATCTAATTTGACAAGTTTGTAAAGAGGAAACATCTACTCACAAAAAAATTGATTAGAAGGAAGTATACCAAAATACTAATTATGGCTATTTGAGAGTAAATGTTTACTGAGTATTTTTACTTCTTATTTTGTATTTTCCAAATATTGTATAATAAGTACATATTACCTTGAAAATAAAAAGAAAAATGAACTTTGAACAGTAGTTAAAAAGCTACATAAATTGCATAAAATAGCTACATAAAAGCTATGAATATTACATCCTTAGATTATATTACTTCATTATTGTATTTAGGCGCTGAAATTGGTCATTTTTTTAATATAAATAAACAAATTAAATTAGGCTATGTTGTATTTTAAACAGTTTGTTAGACAACCAAGAAAAAAAAATAACCAGATTTGTTCGCCTGTACTTAAAATAACGCCAATAATTTTAACCAGTGAATACAAAAGTCACTCCTTCCCCTTTTGTTATTCAGATATGTTGTCAATCACTGTGAGGACCTGTCTTCTAGCTCTCTAAGTGAGTCATAATGCTGATGTTATCTTTTAGCCTGTTTCAGAATCTGGAGCTACCTTTTACTTTCACTTCTGAACCTTATCGTTCTTAAATAAAATTGTTTTGGTTGAAAGAATCATCTTTGCCCATGTATTCAGCAAGTTTAAGTACTTTTCTAGGTCGCCATCAGATGCTAAAGTTAACAAATTTTTCAACTGTGGTCTAGGCTACTGAATGTTTCCTACTAGGAAAAAAAAGTTTTTAAGGAAAAGAAAAGGGAAAAAAAAGCGTTCCTTTTCTTTTGGTCAGAACTCCATAAAGTCACATTTTGAATGTAAGTGATTTATGTTACCTTGAATATAAAATTCAAAATATTTGTTTCTCATTTTCAGGTATTTTTCATGTATTTTTTAAAGCGCGTCTCTTAGGGAAGGTTGTAATTCCGATTCTCTTTATAGTAACATGTATACTGATTTAACTTACATAGAGAGCAGTTTTTACTGAGGAAAAAAAGAAGTCAAACCCTTGAATTTATTCCAAGCCTAAATCTTCCATTTAGAGCACTTGAATAAGACCTGTTTTATTGACTATTGTCATTGTTCTTACTTGTCAAGTTAATCTTACTAATATGCTTTTTCTTTTTTCTTTTTTAAAGATTTTATTTATTTATGTGTGAGAGAGAGAGAGAGAGAGAGCACAAGCAGGGGGAGCGGCAGATGGAGAAAGAGGCTCCGCACTGAGCAGGGAGCCCAACGCAGGGCTTGATCCCAGCACCCTGGGATCATGACCTGAGCCAAAGCCAGACACTCACCCAAGTGAGCCACCCAGGTGCCCCATTATGCTTTTTCACTGAATTTGTCCACTCACATCTAACTGATCCAAATGCCTTATCAAGTGCCCAAATCAGGTCAAGGATAAGAGCAGCTAGTGATGCTATTTTGAGAGGAAACAAAATGCCATGAAGCTAGACCAGTTCCTTTCTGTGAAAACACACCACTTCTTTGGCATATACATGTTCCAGTGCACTAACAGGAGAAACAGTGACAAGCTGACAAGGTCGTTCATTCCTAGAGAACACTGGCTATTTTGTCCATGGATATGCACTGAAACCTTTTACACAAAAATATGGTTCATATATGAAGTCTTATGCACAACTAAGGAATTTTGAAATTACTCGCTAGCTATAGATAATCATCTAGTTCTTTCAAGAACAAGAAGTATGTTTCTTTTACCTCTTATTTTCAGAATCTAGAATGTTGCCTACATATAATAAATGCTCAATAAAAGTTTGTTAAACCAGTGACACAATAACATAATTGACTTACTGAGAAGCAATTGCCAAATTGTACCATACTGCAATAGCACTGCAACTAATTAGCTCAGTTTATTTGTATAATGACTTGAGGCCAAGGGCTCACTCCTTAAAAAAGTCTTTTGGCCTTGTTCTAGTCACAATTTCATATCTTATTCCAGTAAGCATCTCTCTCATGGATGCAAGGAGAATCAGAAAGAGAGAGAGAGAGAAAGTTTAACACAATTCATCACCACTCCACAATAGACAATTCAGAAATTATTTATTTAGAAATGAAACTGATAGTAAATGAGCTTTGCATCATTTTGATATGGAAAGTTCCAATATTTCAGCATATTAAACTTAGCTGTAGGGCGCCTGGGTGGCTCAGTCGTTAAGCGTCTGCCTTCGGCTCAGGTCATGATCCCAGGGTCCTGGGATCGAGTCCTACATCGGGCTCCCTGCTCAGCAGGAGGCCTGCTTCTCCCTCTCCCACTCCCCCTGCTTGTGTTCCTGCTCTCGCTATCTCTCTCTCTGTCAAATAAATAAAATCTTTAAAAAAAAAAAAAACTTAGCTGTAAGTAAAATAGGGTTGCCTGGGTGGCTCAGTTGGTTAAGCGTCCGACTCTTGATCATGAGGGCAAGCCCTGTGTTAGACTCCATGTGGAGCCTACTTAAAAAAAAGAAAAGAAAAGAGTAAGATAGTAACATTAACTATTGATCTTTAAACTAACACAAACTAATATATGACCCCATCTCATTTTATTATAACTAAAATAGTTTGTCACACAGGTCTACTTCTTAGGACAATAATCTTGTGATTGCTATGAAAGATCATTTAACTCAAAGTATTTGGTCAATAAAAGGACTTCTATCTTTTAGATAAGGGAATGTCAATAATATGCTTTGCAAAACAAATATATAATATGAATATATGTGAGACATACAGCCTAAAAAATATACCTTTTCCAAGGACCCTCAAATAAACTATCATGAATGGAGCCAGTTTCAGAAGTTTGAATACAAGAAAGTTTTAATTTGTATTAAGATCTCACTAGTTTTAATAGCTCAGGAAAGTCAACTAGTTTCTGTCTGTACATTTTCTCACTGTGAAAGTAGAAAAAATGTTACTTAACTGCTTCACAGGGGGTACTGTGCAAATCATTTAGTTAATGTTCTTAAAGCACTGCCAAAGTGCTAAATGTTATCATTAGGGTGCATTGTATATCTCTTTGCAATTATCTGCCACCTTAAAATTCTATGGCTTGTAAGGGTATCTCACTCCTGAAATACTTAAAAAAGGTTAAGGAAAGTTCAAGAGGTGAAAAAAAAAAGCACATGGGCTAAGTTAGGGTAGAAGAAAGGGAAACTTGGAATTTGGCACGTCTTATTACATGCTTCTTGTTACACCAAGTTACATGTTTCTTAGACTAAACACCACTGAACTTTATATTTTAAATGGGTGAATTGCATGGTATGTGAATTAAATCTCAATAAAGCTATTATAAAAATAATAATAAATCCAACCTCATCATCACACCAGAAAAAAAACTTATATATTCCCTGAAAGTGTGGATCATTATGCTAGAAAAAATAATTCTATGTGCACACATTTTGAGTTCCAAATAGGCTACATAGTTTTAAGAAATCAGTCTACAATAGAACTAAACAATTAAATGGTGCATTGAGATAAAATTATAATTTACTTTTAATCATTTAATTATTTATAGTAATTACATATTTAATCTGATTGATTAAAACAGTCTATCTTGAAATCAATGAGACCAGATCCAGTGATGCCTACTTTTGCTTTTGCTGATTTTAATCTTAGAATATTCTTTGGGAGAAAAATTCTCAAATGCACAAATTAAATTTCAACTGAATTCATAATAGTAGTCGTAGTAGTAGTAGTAGTAGTAATAGTAATAGTAGTGACATGTCCGGTTTTTTGTTTTGTTTTGTTTTTTTAGTAGTGACATGTTTGTATAGTTATTTATAATTGTTATCAAATGGCAATAAATATGAAGGGTTTGAGACTTACCCTGTTTGCAAACAAACAAGTCAGCATGCCACAATTTCTTGGATGTTAGCAGAAGACACAAGACTCCTGGATTAGAGACAAAGGACAGTTTATTACCCACAGAATAGCAGTAGCAAGAGGATCGTTTTCTTGTGCCAGTTCTTCAAGTCCCAATTCCCACAGGGTGACACAAGAAGGGCCAGGAGACACCTGCACACAGAGTGGGTTGTGTTAAAGAAGAGGAACTCTAAGTTTAGAAAGCCTCAATCTTTTCTTTCTGCTCCAGAGAGAGATACTCTCCTCTGAGGCTGTTTGCTATACCAACATTCTTGAAAAAATGGCCCCCATAACAGTAAAACAAACAATCCAATTAAAAATGGACAGAGGATCTGAATAGACATTTTTCCAAAGAAGACACACTAATGGCCAATAGGTACACGGAAAGGTGCTCAGCATCATTAATCATCAGGGAAATGCAAATCAAAACCACAATGAAATATCACCTCACACTTGTTAGAACAGCTAGTTAATAGAAAAGATAAGAAATAACAAGAGTTGGTGAGGATGTGGAGGGAAAAGGGAACCCCTGTACACTATTTGTGGGGATGTGAATTGATGCCATCAATATAGAAAGAAGTATGATGCTTCCTCAAAAAATTAAAAACACTCAACATCACTCATCATCAGGAAAATGCAAACCAAAACTACAATGAGACATCACCTCACACCTGTCAGGATGGCTAAAAGCAAAAACACAAACAAGTGCTGGCGAGGATGTGGAGAAAAAGGAACCCTCGTGCACTGTTGGTGGGAATGCAAATTGGTGCAGCCACTGTGGAAAACAGTATGGAGGTTCCTCAAAAAATTAAAAATAGAACACCCTACAATCTAGTAATTGTGCTACTGGATATTTACCCAAAACATACAAAAACACAAATTCAAAAGGATACATGTAAACATAGGACGTTTATAGCAGCATTATTTACAATAGCCAAATTATGGAAGCAGCCCAAGTGTCCACTGATAGACATATGGATAAAGAAGATGTGATACAAAAACAGATGAACATAAGGGAAGGGAGGGAAAAATAAAATAAGACAAAATCAGAGAAGGAGACAAACCCTAAGAGACTCTTAACCATAGGGAAAAAACTGAGGGTTGCTGGAGGAGAGGAGGGGGCGGGGATGGGGTAACTGGGGTGATGGGCATTAAGGAGGGCACTTGATGTGATGAGCACTGGGTGTTATATGTAACTGATGAATCACTAAACTACCTCTGAAACTAATAATACACTAGATGTTAATTAATTGATTTTAAATAACATTAAAAAAAGATGAGTTTAAAAAAAGAAGATATATAGGGGCGCCTGGGTGGCTCAGACGGTTGAGCATCTGCCTTCGGCTCAGGTCATGATCCCGGGGTCCTGGGATCGAGTCCCGCATCGGGCTCCCTGCTCCTTGGGAGCCTGCTTCTCCCTCTGCTTCTCTCTCTCTCTCTCTGTCTCTCATGAATAAATAAATAAAATCTTAAAAAGAAACAGAGGTAACTGAAGAAAAAAACCACAAAAAATATATTTAAAAAAAGATATATAAATCTATATATATTGATATATATCTACATAATGGACTATTACTCAGCCATAAAGAAGAAAATCTTGCCATTTGTGACAACATGGATGGACCTTAAGGGCATTATGCTAAACAAAATAAGGCAAACAGAGAAAGACAAATACCCTATTATCTCACTTACAAAAAAAAAATTCATATATATTGAAAACAAACTGGTGGTTGCCAGAGGTGGGGGGTGGGAGATAGGGGAAATGGGCGAAGGGGGTCAAAAAGTACAAACTTCCAGCTATAAATAAGTCCTGGGGATGTAATGTATAGCATGGTGACTATAATTAATAATATTGTATGTATATTTGAAACTTGCTGAGAGAGCAAATCTGAAAAGTTCTCATCGCAACCAAAAAATTTTTTTAACTATTCTTTTGGATGGAAGTTAAACTGGAGTTATTGTGGTGATCATCTCACAATATATACAAATATCAAATCATTACATTGTACACCTGAAATTAATGTAATGTTATACATCAATTATATATCTCAGTTAAAAAAAAAAGAATGGAAGACGAAAGGGGGAAAATCAAATCATGGACATCATTATAATACTCACTAAATAAAAGCAACTTCAGGTACTTATCTAGAAAGAAAGAGATTATCTCAGGAAAAATTAAAAGCTGATTTGATCATTAAGACAAACCATTAAAAGGGGTGGCCGGCTGGCTCAGTCGGAAGAAGGTGTGACTCTTGGTCTCAGGGTGGTGAGTTTGGGCCCCACATTGGGTATTATACCACATAGCTGGTATAATAACTATATTATTTTGCTTAAATACTTGTGCATCTTTATGGAAAAATCCCAGGTAATTTTTACCCCAAGTATCCCCAAAACTAAGAAATAAGTTTCTGACTTCCCATTTTGAGTTGTAAAGAATATTAAAAACAGGGCGCCTGGGTGGCTCAGTTGGTTGAGCGACTGCCTTCGGCTCAGGTCATGATCCTGGAGTCCCGGGATCGAGTCCCGCATCGGGCTCCCTGCTCGGCAGGGAGTCTGCTTCTCCCTCTGACCCTCCCCCCTCTCATGTGCTCTCTCATTCTCTCTCTCTCAAATAAATAAATAAAATCTTTAAAAAAAAAAAAAGAATATTAAAAACATCCAGTGTGCTTCAGCTGCATCCACTCAATCCACCCCTGACAGGTTCCCCATCCTCTCTCCCCGTTCCAGATAGCTTAAACTGACTTCATTCCACTCGCGTCTTCATCCCCTTCCCCTACTCTCCCATTTTTGTGCTCAATTTTGACCCTTGTCTCTACGATCAACCTAACCTTAGACAATAATGATTTAACAAGTTTTAACTCAATAGTAAAGAACCAAGTTCAGTTTACCCCTTCTGATGGGCCCAACTGGCACACTTTTGTCAAGTGCACTTTGGTCTTATTCCATAGGTCAGTGTCTATCCAGATCTCCATTTGTGGTAAGGGAATCTTTGATGGTCTCATTCTCTGAATCTGAGTTGGTATATCAGTTCCTGGGGTTGTAACCCTGCCAGGCTCTTGTCAGGCCCCTCTCAGGGAAGAGGATCTTGCAGCAGATCCTAAATGCTGAGGCAAGGGTTTTGTCATACCAAATGACCACGGCAATTTTCAAATACCACAAGCTCCTAGATTCTCTGTACCTGGGCTTTGCATGGCTGTTGAAGAACAATATCCCCACATGGGATTTTCAAGGTACATATGTTTACTGGCATGTCTTCAACTTCATTTGCCATGCAGTGCCCACCAGCCTGGATTTCCTCTCTAGACCCACCCAGAGTTTTGAAATGACCATTTCAAAAACTTCAGTTTGATCAGTCGTATTCCCTCTCACCCTGCCATTTCTGCCCCAGGTGGCTGGTTCATGCCTGACTCTATTCTGAAACATCATTGAGGGTCACCTGGGTGGCTCAGTTGGTTAAGTGTCCAATTTCAACTCAGGTCATAATCTCAGGGTTGTGAGATCAAGTCCTATGTCAGGCTCCGTGCTGGGCATGGAGCCTGCTTAAGATTCTTTCTCTCCCCTGCCCTCTGTCCTTCCTTCCTCCCTCTCTACTTCTCTTAAAAATACATATATATATCATTAAGAATTTCTGTATTGCTGTTCTCCTTTCACAACTATACTTAAAGAATTAATTACATGATTCCAGCAGGTTATCAGTATGAAGTCAAACATGTTTCACAAAATAGTCTATATTTCAAAATAGTTTCAGTATGCAACAGATTATTAGAATGCTTAACTTGTGAGTTTATGAATTTTCAATTCATATGGGTCCTTAGGAAATTACCTAAACTTCAATGTAATATAAAATTATAAAAATAATAACTTGTATGTATATTATCAAAATTATGTTTTAAAAAATCATGGATGTGAGCAAAGCCTGAAGAACAATCCACAAACAGCAATGCACTTTATATACAAGTGAGAGTAATGTAATGTCAGAGTAATGTAATTATGGAGTTGTTTTCTTTTTAAAAATATATCCATTCTTGCATTTTGATAAGGAAAAGGAAATTACAGTATTTATCATAATACTTTCCAAGTATGCTGAGATAAGTCAATGAAAACTACTATAGCTATCAATGCTTCCTTTTTAATGAGTTCTTCCTTAATTAAATCTTGGTTTAGCTGTGCATTGATTTAGAACACGCCCCCTTTCATATGCACATGTGTGCTTTCCAGAGGCCCCAAAAGGTTAACAACTGTTATACATCATTATAACTAACAGTTTGGTCTAATGGATAAGGACTGAGTCAGCAATCTTAATATCTTCCTCTTAGCTCTATGACCCTGGAAAGTCACTTAACATCTATCATCTTGGTCTCTCTTTCAAAACGAATAATAATAACTGTTGAATCAGGAAAATATCTATAAAATATATTAAGAGACTTAGTGAAAATGGAAAATGAATGTAAACTAATATAAAGACCCAATTCAACTAGCCTACTTTTTTTTTTTTTAAGATTTTATTTATTTATTTGACAGAGAGAGACACAGCGAGAGAGGGAACACAAGCAGGGGGAGTGGGAGAGGGAAAAGCAGGCTTCCCGCGGAGCAGGGAGCCCGATGCGGGGCTCGATCCCAGGACCCCAGGATCATGACCTGAGCTGAAGGCAGACGCTTAACGACTGAGCCACCCAGGCGCCCCTCAACTAGCCTACTTTTCAACTTCAACTTCATTTGCCATGCAGTGCCCACCAGCCTGGACTTCCTCTCTAGACCCACCCAGAGTCTCACAATAATGACCATTTCAAAAACTTCAGTTTGATCAGTCGTATTCCCTCTCACCCTGCCATTTCTAATATAATACGTGAAATTTTAATTTAATAGAAATATATTCTTGGATTATAACTAAGATTATTGGTCATGGAATATAAATTAGACTATTAGTATATTAAAATGCTTTGCTAAATATCAAATAACATTTTGACCTACATTTTCAATGAGAAATATAGTGTGGACGTGTAAAGGCATGTAATTCTTTCTGTAGCCAC